CCATATCCCATGGTATTTTATCCCTTGGTTTTAGACCAAGTTGCCCCCAGAACTCACTTGGATACAATTTAACTCAGATCAAATCAGTGTAAGTTCATGTGTGTGTGTGTGTTCAAAAGTGTTTTAATATACAAACTTCTAGCTATTTTTAGAAAATAAACATTGTAATAGATAGCAAGTTCAAATCCTGAAAGTCTTTGGGAATCTGTACTAGTATAAAAAGAAACTATATTTATTCAAAAAAAAAAAAACTTCATCAGTTTGGTATTAGAGAGGAGTTGGAGTACACTTTGTAGACATTTTTCCATGTAAATTTCTCTTTAATTCCCAACCCAGTCTGCCTACTCTGGGCCACCTACAGGAAGTGCTTATGGCTTCAGTGCATGGAGTCTGCTACCAGACACCATTTTATAGATTAAAACATAGTGTCCTAGACTGTATAATAGCTAATATTCTTCCTAAATAATCCAAGAAGTAAAATAGGTGATAGATGCTAATGTCTCTCTTCATGGGAGAGAAAGAACAGAAAACAGACGTCAGGATTCTCTTCCAAGTTTAGCAATCCTTTTGCTTTTTCTTTTGTTTATCCTCAGAAAGTGGTATTTCAAAAAAAGTTTTCAGAAAAAAATTAGATATTAGATCAAGATACTGGGGAATTTTCAGTAATTCAGGTACTGGTTTTTATCATCCATCTCTCTTATTGACATTGAAGCCTTAACTTTTCTGTACAACATCTCCCCCAAAGTTAAATGTATGCTAGAGTAGACAGTGTTCTCCAGAGAAACAGAGCAAGAGCTGTATCTATATACAGATATTTATTTTAAGGAAGTGGTTCATGTGATTATGGGGGCTGGCAAGTCTACAATCCTCACTGCAGGGTGGTAGGCTGAAAACTCTGAGAACTGATACAGTTGCAAGTCCAATGGCTGAAAACTTGTTTAGATTTTACATGTTGCACTTTGGAGGCAGAAGTCCTTCCTATTTGTGGGACCTTGGTCTCTGCTTTTAAGACCTCAACTGATTGGAAAAGGCCCATCCACATCATGAATCATAATCATTGCTAATAGATCTACTGATGTAATATAAATCACACAAAAATATCTCACAAAAATATTCAAACAGATATTTGATTAAACAAGTAGGCACCACCAAAGTAACAGATCAATTAACCATAGCACAATGGACTGTCTAAGGGCAGGATGACAGCTCAGTGGCAGAGCACTATCTAGAACAGACTACATACCAGCTTGCAATTCTAGTCTATCCGAAAAAGGGACCGTATCCTTCTAGCGTGGCAACTGATTCAGGAGTACAGAGTTCAGAAGTACAGAGCTCAACATAGAAGTACTAATTCAGAAGTACAGAGCTCAACACAAGACACTGTGCAATTCACATATATGAACTACCCAGCACGGACAAATATATTCTAGAATCTAGAATAACAAATGATCTGGGACACAGGATAGGAGTGAGCACTAATGCTACCTGACTGCTAATAAGTATAGAATTTCCTTCAAGGGAAAATAAGATGGAATCAAATGTCTCTGGTGTTGGTTACACATGAATAGACTTTAAAATTCAGAATTTTATGCTTTAAAAAGATGGGCAAATGTTGTGTGAATATATACATAAAATTATCAAAGTAAAATTAAGCAAGCTAATCACAAAGTATCCAAATAAACTCTTAATAAACATTTTCCTTAAGACATTTTCATTTCAAAAATGTAATTTTTCTGAAATAACTCCATTTTCACTTCTAAATGCTCAATATTGTGACTTCTCTATCTTTCTGTGTGTCATATAATTTAAGAAACAGATTTGCATGTTTATTGAGAATACTAATAACACAAATGAATTTCATATATAATCTGTCACACTCTGACCTAGTGAACCCCGAGAGAATTCTAACTCTATTTACTTTGTCCTAGAAGTCCACAGACTAAGGAAATTTCACAGACTACCAGACTGATTTTATAATTAATGTGGCAAAAGTCATACATTTTTTACTTTAATTTGCATGAGTGACTCAGAGCCTGTAACCTTGAATCCCCTTCACTGGAAAATTTTTACCCTTCTAATTTGCAAGTGGGAAATATAATAATTTGAATGTCTGAAATCATCTACAGGAGATGGGGTGTCCATATGTCTTCTACCAAGTGATACATCTATTCAATGAGGAAAAGACGACACCAGGGGCACACATTTTTAAATGGAGGTATTATTCCATGGAAAACTTGCCTCTAAGAAGGAAATGGCAGTGACTGTTTTATTCAATGCCATATATGACCTGTTTTTATTTCACCAAATGTTTTGCTCCCACAGTAAAATGAAGGTAAGTGACAGGAAAACGGGACTACTTTTTTCAAAGTGAATTATTTGTCAAATACATGGCAGAGCTGCTGAACATGAAATTTACAAACTATTACTTGTTTTTCATATCCTACTGCAGGTACTGCTAAAGTTAATTCAGCATCAGTCAAGGTAAATGGTAGATTTTATTCCTTGTTTATTTTTAAATAGCATATATTATTTTCAGAGGAAATTCAGTGCAGTTTTTCTATCAATAGATCCTATCAAACTATTAAAAGTGACAAGGAAGTACAGATCTTGATTACAATAATCTGATCAGAACTAAACATGTTAATTCTGTCCAGGTTCTGAAATACATGTTTAAAGACCATAGTGTAATGAAATTGTAAAGATAAGCCTAACAGAGAAAGAATATCTGAAAACGTGTTTCTGAAATGGGAGATAAGAATATCCTTGGAAATACATGACATTTAAGAACAACAGGAAGTATTCTTTGTCCCCAGACGTGACTAGCAATGTAAACTGTCAATTTTCACTCCCTTTCACGTAGCTAAAAGGATTTGTAAGTATATTTTTTATATTACTATTTACTTCCTAAAGTTCTCATGTCTAAATATCATTATTTTAAAATGCTTTCTAAACATATTTAATGACTAACTTACTGCATGCTTAAAATATGTTTATGGTTTCTGGTTTGTTTTTTAATGTCTTATGCCAGTTTCCCCATTAAAATTTCCAGGCTTTAGAGAGGGAAATATTATTTTACATAATTTACAAATAAAGAGATTAAGATGTACAAAGCTTGAGTGATGAACCTAAGACATATGGTTTATAATTAAAATGATCGGGAATATTATTTTTAATCATGTTTGAAATGTTTTTACATTTTTCATTCTCCTTTCCTCTTCAAATAAAAATATCACTTTACCACTTTATAAAATCAGAGGATATGATGATTAATCTTGTCAACTTGACAAGAATTAGAATCACCATGGGAACACACCTATGGGTGAGCCTATAAGAGTGTTTTTAAAGTGTTTTAGCTAAGGAGAGAAGACCCAACCATAACGTGGGTAGCACCATCCCCAGGGTTGGGGTCCATGATGACATAAAAGGAGAAAGTGAGCTGAACACCAGCATTCATCTCTCTCTAGTTACTGACTATAGATGCAATGTAATCAGCCACCAGACACAACTACCCACGTTTTCCCAAACATAATGGACTGGATCCCCTCAAACTGTGAACAAAAATGAGCAGCTCCTCCTTAAAGTGCTTCTTGTCAGGTATTTAGTCACAGCAGTAAGAAAAGTAACTAATATGGAATGAAAATATATACATATCTGAAAATGTTAATATGATATATAGTTTATAGTACAAAGAGTAAGGAGTCATACATTCTTAAATTCCGGTGCTATCAACTGTTAAGTTTGTCATCTCTTCTTCATCTTTCTTCTTCTAATATGCACAACTTAGAATTTTACAATTTTTAATTTACTTTTTAAAATATTTATTCATTTATTTTATGCACACGAGTGTTTGGTCTACATATCTATGTGTACAATGTACATGTAGTGTGTACAGAGGTCAGAAGATCCTCTGCAGCTGGGAGCTACTCTGTGGGTGCTGGAAAACAAATCCGAGTCCTCTATAAGAGGACCAAGTGTCTTAGATGTTGAGTCATCTCTCCAGCTCCTTAATTTTAATTTTGAAGTTGAAACATCACATTTATTAATAGTTGAAATTATGACAGGCAGTTCCACAAAACAGGAAATATAATAGAGTATAGAAGTTCAGCACAGGAGTTAATAGATTTCGTCCTCACCCTTTCTTTGGCACTATCTGTTCCAACCTCACAATCTCTCCATACCCTCTTAGGCTTCAGAAATTTCGCCTTCCTCCATCCCCTCACCCGTATACCAGAGAACAAAGATACACTTGGCATACATCAGGTCAAACTTGTGGTCTCAGAAAGCCCAAATCTCAACGTCTGTATTGTGATTTAGCGTCCATATAGCTCATTGTGTCTTGGCCAGGTCTCTACAAAGCACAACAGGAAGGGGCTGGTAATGAATGCCAACTTTGAAGCAAATGGGACACCAGTCTCCCGCTAGAAGTTGCACTTGGTCTTGATAATGTAAATGACAACACTGACATTTTTGGGAACCACATCATCATGGTAAAACATGAAGCAAGCCATGTATTTACCATCGTGCCAACCACATATCCCATATGGCTAAATGGCTCAGAGCAAATACTGGTTATCTGTACAACAGAAAGCTGCTCATTGTAGGCATTCTCAACACAGATGTCGATGCCAGGGGTATATGTGTCCAGAGGGAAGTAGATCTGGATTGATCTAAAATTCAGTCAGATCAACATTTAGGGCTCCATCAAATCTGAAGAAACTAGTGATGGAAGACACAGTCTGCATAATGGGATGGTAAAGGAAATGTAGATTGCACGGTCAATACTGTGGTTGCCACAACAGATGTCATGGGCAGCCTCATACCATGATAACACAATCACAGTGCTCTAGGGTATAAAGAAAGTGTTGTAGAACTCAACTACAGGAAAACTCCAGCTTACACTTCGTACCATAATCAAGAGAGACATTCCATCAACAGGGAGATGATCCCAACATTAGTTCACCCACCACAGCTGAGAAAAATCAATATTGCTTATAAGTCTTAAAAATATGGATGGTTTCATATTTTTGTGTCATTCTTGCCAAAGGTTCATGCTAATCTTCTCCATATAGTTCTACTTTTTAGTATACATGCCATCAAAATGACATCCTCTTGGAATTAAAAAAAATTATCATGTATCTGACTTATTTGCTTATGGTCTATTGCTTTTTGTGGTTTTTAAATTTCTATTTTTTTTGTTTTTAAATAACATGTTTAAATTTGTTCTTTGAAAAGTTTCATATATGAATACGATGTATTTTGATCACTAGCAGCCCCTTTTCCCCTGTCAAATGCCCCTCAACCCTCCCTTAACATGCTTCCCTCCAAACTTCATGTCCTTTTTTTTGTTTAAAAAAACAAAGCTAAATACATTTATATTAACATGTTATCTCAGGGTTCCAAAACAAAATAACATAAACAATGGATTTTCTTTTTCTCATGGTGCTAGTGTCTTGAAAACTTAAGATTAAGATGACAACAATGTAAGCTTCATCCTGAAGTGTTTTTCCTGGCTTACAAGTGATTGTTACTGCTGATACAGTTGCACTGGAACGAGAAGAGAGGATAGTTCTCTGCCTTCTTTTCTGATAAGGGCTGTGCTGGATAGCTTCATTTGTCAACTTGAAATACCTGTGAAGAAGGAACCTCAACTAAGATACTGTCTCTGTAGGACTGGACTGTGGCTATGTCCATGAGGTGTTTTCTTAACTGGTTAATGAGGGATGGACCAGCCCACTGTGAGTGGCACCATCCCTGGGCAGGTGACCTTAAGCTGTTTAAGAAAGCAAGCTGAGCATAGGACAGGGGAGCATGGTTTAAGGAGGTATTAAGATCATTTGATCAAATCCTTGTCCTCTCTTTATTTCCATATATGGCCGTGGTCAATTTCATCATCAATAAAATGGAAAAAAATAGCAGTGTCTACCTCATGTCAAATTTAAATAATACTTGGAAGTGAGTAATTGCTCATTGAGCATGATGTATATAATCATAAAAACTACAAAGTTTTTGTAAGCACAAATATAATAAACATAGCCTTTTATAATTTTTTGAGCATTTTTTAAATTAATTTTTTTTATGTATATACGTGTTTGCCTGCACATAATTGTACCATGCTTTGCAATGTCCGTGGGGGCCAGAAGAGGGCCTCTTGGAACTAGAGTTGTCCACTGTGTTGCAAACCAAACCGAGGTCCTTTGTAGGAGCAGCCAGTGCTTTAATCGATGAGTCATCTCTTCATCCTTGCATTTTATAACTTTTATTAAACACAGCGGTGACATTCTGAAAGATATTTTCACCTTTTAATTGTAAGAAAATGGGTTGACTTTTCTCTGTAGCTACTGCCCAATTAGTTATAATTCAAAATTAATCAGTTTGTTTTGAAATATGCAAAACAACTTGTTCGAAGTGTCTGAAGACCTATGCCAAAACACTAATTAGAAGCCGCTCCATTCGCCAGCTCAGGCTGCCATGACAAAATACCACGGGTGGGTTGCTTGAGCAACAGAAATTTATTTTATTTCATTTCTGAAAGCTGAAACATCCAAACCAAATCCTGCAATGGTCGTTTTCTAGTAAAAGTTCTCTTCCTAACTTTCACATGGCTCCCTTTTGATGATTCCATTCATGGCAGAAAGAAAGAAGTTGTATAAAACCACTGTCTTGTCATAAGGGCCTCGTCCTTGTGACCTTGCTTAAGCTTCATTACTTCTAAAAAGCTCTGTATCTAGATGCAAATGTACTCACTGCAGGCTATAATTTCAACATACCAATTTCATGGTGACACAATTTAGTCCACAACAAGTGTTAAGTCCAATTAGAAAGAACTATCAGGGCATTTTGAAAGCCTTGCCCTTGCTTTCCAAGTACTCAAGCAAGAAAAACTTTAGGAATAATACAGAAGCCTGCTTCCTCCTTAATGAGGATAGTTACATCCTTCTATTACCATGAGAAAACATCCACTTACACAGCACAAGGTGTTTGTTTGCAAACTTTAAGAAGAAGCATTTCAGCAGGGTGCTGTCTGTGGTGCTTGGGTGCTTGCCATTAGAAATCTACTTAAAACTTTTTAAAAAGATTTTTTCATCCATAATAATAATTTCAAGATGTAAAATCTGGTTGCAAATGCTATGCCTAAAAGTGTTTAAAGTATATTTCTTCATAGAAATATAATGCTAATCCCTTACTGTGTAACATTATTTAAGTTTTAGTTGAGGTTTTTATGTTTAAATAAAATATAATTGCAGTTAGATGGGAATTGCATGCAAAACATGGGAATGAATTGTTTGAACCTGTAGAAATCATGTTAAATTTCATAATGCTTTGCTGAACATCAGTGCTCACAGATAACTGCATGTGCAGTAATCCTTGTCTAGCCAATTTGCAAAGTTGGATCACCTAATAGAGCATCTTGTAATAATGCAGCCATTTCATATGTAAGGAACAATCTATTAAGTCATGGAATCCAATATAAAATCTATAGCATGTACTGTGTATGAAGATGTGTGTGAATATTTAAGACATTCATTAATTCTGTGGCTAATTCTAAGCAGAAATCTCTGTATAAGAAATTTATGCTAGTACTTTTGTCCACATAAAATAGACTATGTTAATACCTAATATGAACAACCAATGATATACAGAATACAGATAAAATTACAGAAATATTACATTCATGTTATTTATAACATCTGAGAAAAAAATGGCTAATATCCCAAGTAGTAAAGATGTTTCACATAGTAAAAGAAGAGCTGTTAGTACTGTCAGAACGTATTCCAGGCCAGATGAACACAATATCAAACTGAAGCACCAATCACAGAGGAAACACCTCCTTAGTGACTGGGAAACCATGCTACTTTCATTCCTCCATCTCATTTTCTTTGGTGTGGTAAAAATAAAAATAAAATAAAAAACTAACTAACTGATTTTGTGTCTCAGTTTTATATATCCTGAGAGTTAAAAACATATCTTATGGGGCTGAGGATGTAGCTCAGCAGTAAATCAGCTTCCTAGCATGTGCAAGGCCCTGGGACTGACCATGCATGTGTATACAGATGTACGTATACATATAGTAAAGAACTCTCGTATTTCTTCAGGACTGCTGTTTGTAGTGTCCCCATGCTTCCTTTATGAATTCTGGTTTTGACCATGCTGGATTTACTGTATTCAAGACTTCTTTTCTCAAGCATTTGAAAAACATGTTATAAAACAATAGTTACTCTTAAATAGCTTATTTATACAATGAACCACGTTATATGATTTTGTGGAGTTTTATAGTCCATAGCTTATTTTAACTTCGTGCCTCCATAATGACTGGCCATAAGACTAACAAAACAAAATAATTTTTTCACAGCTTACAATGATTAAAAATAAATTCTTTAGGGAGAGGGGAATATGACTCACTTGATAGTATGCTTGCCTAACATGTATGAGGGTCCAAGTTCATGCTCAGAACCACATAAATTCACCATGGCAATGTAGTCCTGCAATCTTGGTACTGGGAAGGTAGAGGAAGAAGGATCAGAAATTAAAGCTCATCTTTGGCTTTATAGAAAAATCCCTGGCCAGCCTGGGATACCTGAGACACCTACACACACACACACGCACACACACACACACACATATATGTACGTATAAACACACACATATATATGTATATACATACATATATATATATATATATATACATATAAACTCAGTGCCTGGTAGAGTGCTTGCCTATCATATTCAAGGCCAGGATTCAATATCCAGCACTGAAAAAAAGGAAAAATAAAGTCCATCCCTTTCTGCCTTTCTGGAACATAATATTTGTCTCTATAAGTAGGAAATAAGCAAAATTGACAGTACTTATGTTAAAAGCACTTTCAGTGACTTAAAAGTAATTTACCATGCTATAGCTATCTAATACAATTTTATATTTACATATTAAAATCAGATAAAACTATATATTCTTCATTTTGTACCTGCAGGCAGAACCTTGAGTCAGCCCTATGGCATGGCAGATAATGGACACATAGGATTATGTGACTCAGAAACTCTTCAGGGATTGAGGCTTGTGCTTCCTAATTCTAGTCTCCTGGGCCATCATTCAAACACATTATTCAAGTAGCTAATGAGACAAGAAGAGTGTGAACCATAATTGACTTATATTCTCTTGGGGAGTCAGCTCTGAGAGTAGATCTATATAAATTCCCCAAGTGTAGACAGAAAGTATTGTAATTAATTTACCAGTCAAGCTGAAAACGTTATGAGTGATAGAATTACTCTATTCTTCCTTTGTCAGCTCCCACATTCCAACCTGTATGGGAGAAAAAATCTACTTCCACGTATTCTAAAATATCAATGAAAGCTGGGAGATGAAATATACTATACTTGTAATTTCTGTACACATCTATGCTTGTTTCTCTATTCTTCAAAAAATATGGTGCAAAGAAAATAAAAGTATCAATATAATATTGTAATTTTAAATGCTATGCGAATTTAGTTATAATAAATATTGTGATATCATTTGTATTAACATGAACCATATTGTTCCCATTTGTTTATATTTCATGTTCTGAACCCTAATTAATTTACTTACAGATTTACAAAAATAATAATTTTTTTAAAAAAATTAATTATTATTTTTATTTTATGTGTATGTGTATTCTGTCTACAAGTATGTAAGTGCACCCATGTCATACAAAGCCCACGGAGGCCAGAAGATGGTGTCAGAGCCCTTGGAATTGGAGCAGGATGCTGGTAATCAAACCTGGGTCATCTGGAAGAACAGAAAATGTCTCCAGCCCCTAATTGTTAAATTTTAGTCAAACATGGATGAAACTATTTCTCCCCATCCCATCAAAATAATCAGGAAGGGTTTATTTAAGGATATAAAGTCATAATCACAAGGAGAAAAAGGAGATAAGCTCAAACGAGGGTTGGAGATATAATTCAATGGTATAGCCCTTGCCTATCAGGTGTGAAGCCCTATGGTTCAGTCCTCAGTACTGGGGAAAAAATTAAGTATTAATTTTTTTTTAGCAAACAGACCTAAAGAATTCTTGTAAGAACTACTGTCAGGTGGACATTGCCTGCACAGCTTTCACAGGTGGGAAATAATGGATTA